AGAGAGAGAGAGAGAGAGAGAGAGAGAGAGAGAGAGAGAGAGAGAGAGAGAGAGAGAGAGAGAGAGAGAGAGAGAGAGATGACATCAGTTGCAAACTTTACTTTTGCAGGTCCATCAACACGGTTTTTGGCAGCATTGACAGAGGAAGGTGTGCAGGTTCTAGTGAGATTTCAGCTCCAGGTATAGCTGGGAGGGAGATATATTTCAAACTCTAACAAGAAAGTCCCAGCCAAAATGCAGAGAAGCAAATCTTTTTTTTTTTTTTTTTTTTTGTGGCGCCCGGCAGAAGGGCAAAGAAGTGCTGCCTGTGTGCTCAGATCAGCCAACTATGCTCAAACTCTCAACGTGTATCACGCATACTACTTCATGTACTCATGGGACACTGGACCCGTTTCCCAGCAGTGAAGCTCCCCACCAATTCCTGTCAGGCCAAATAACCGAGCAAATGACCACTCATACAACCTGAGCCACATATGACCAGCCTCTTTTTTCCCCGTGCGTTCAGGAGGAATGAAGCCCAGCAAGATCCACTTTTTATTCCGGTCTATCTGTCTCCCACCAATCTCATTCCAATGCTGGGCCCACCATCTCTACACCCGTTTGGGTGCTGGGAAATCTCACCACAAACGTCTGGTGGATTCAAATGGCCAGGTGCAGCACGTGCAGCCTAGTTGGAGGTCCACTCCTCTCCCTGCCAGCATACAGCCGAAGGGGTAGCCAGCACGAACAGGAGCCAGAGAATACCAGCATGCTTCGTGTTTGGCACTTCCATCAAGTCAGCCCATCCCTAAAACTTGAAGAAAGTAGGTTGGGCATGAATGCCTACCTAAAGTTGTACTAGATTGGCCAAATAGCTTACTTCAGTCTGGGTACTCTGATTGGTTTCCACAAATTTCCAGTTAGCCTATTTCATGGAGAATACATATTGGGTTCAAATTGCCTGCCTGCCCCCCCCTCCTCCCCCTGTCCCCCCCCTCTCCCCCCCCCCTCCAAAAAGGTTGAGGGTTCCAACTTCCAAGTAATGTAAACTCTAAGGCTAGAAAGATGAAAAAGTAAGGCGTCAACCCTCACATGTGCAATTAGGAAACATGCTGCAAAGGTGCAAACAGTGTGGTGGTTTCCTGCACTTCCCCTCCGTTTGCTTAACTTTTTTGTCCCTTCCCCCCCTCCAGTTACAGTTTTTTCCAAGCCTCTTTTGGTGTCGTAGACTAGCATGATCCTTGGGATCTGAATAAGAGGATACTCGAACGACGACCTTTTGGACTGATCTGTGGATGCAATTGCGGCCAGATGCATTTAGGTCAAGGTGGAATTCCAATCAGATACATCCACGGAATCCCTACTGTGAGTATGCCCTAGAACCTTTACGCAAAAACCTGGGCGCTCGGTTTATCGGACTTCATCTCCTCAGTAGGAGGAAAGCAGCTGGTGGAAGTGGGGTTTGTATTGAGTGCCGTTCTGGTTACCAGGATCTCTACGCTCCACCGCCCAGTGGTAGGGGAGGTTTAGACGAAGCACTGGCAACCGTGTTGGCCTGGGTTTTGGGGCGTTGATGTGGTTGTTTTTCTTCTCAGGGGTTGGCCCCCACCGGGTTTATCCCCCCCCGTCAGCGAAACTGGCTAATGCCCCCAGCGCGTCCTCTCCGAATAGACATTGAGGACCCCCAGCCTCGATGCTTTTTTCGTGGGCAAATGATTAACAGCATTGCAGAGAACGAGCAACAAATGGTATGGTTGTGTGTGTCATGTAGCTTGTGTACCGAATTCTTGTATACTGAATTCTTAATTTGGTATGGAAATTCTGGGGGGGCTTTCCATATGGAAGCAGTGAAAGATGTGAGCGCATGGGCCATGATGATGTTGCGCTGTGAGGACGCCGTCCCTCAACATATTACAAAAAAGTAAAAATAAAAACCAAGTGCGACAAATAGTATGGTTCTGTGCGTCTTGTAGCTAGTTTACCAAATTCTTGTATACTGGATTCTTATGTTTGCGTCTTGTACCTTGTGTAGTACATGCACGTGTCTGTGAAACCAAAACTTTCACTGTGTGTGTGTGTGTGTGTGTGTGTGTGTGTGTGTGTGTGTGTGTGTGTGTTGCCGTCAGATTTTCACCGACTCATCAGGAGGTTGAACCTGTACAGACAGTCTGCCCAGGATTCAATTGACTGATGGATAAGAACACCACATCGCCCAGAGTTAGTGACACCCCTGAGAAATGTGGTTGACCTTGCAATCCTAGTGTGTGTGACGTTTAAGTATACTGTAATCCCCAGTTATCAGCTTCACACCGAGACATGGTTTTCCACAGGGACCAGACTCAACATGACCTCCCTAGGATGCGTTCCAACGCCTCCCAGTCAAGTGCACTTACTACAACGGCTGGAGGGCAGACACCGTGCAAGCAACCAACAGCCAAACCAAAAAAGCAAAACAAACAGGTCCCAAGGGGATAGGCAAGCATCAAAGCAAAGCAAGCAAAAAGACATCAAGGTATAAGTTGGAGGGCACGGGAGAGGTGGGAAGGCAGACAACATGCATAAACACAAAACAGGCACACAAGCACACCGAGACCAGGCAAACAAGAAAAGCATCAGAGCAAACCAAGCAAAAAAACATCAAGGCATAGGTTGGAGGGCACGGGGGAGGCAGGACGGCAGACAACATACAAGAACACAAAACAGGCACACAAGCACACCGAG